GAAATGAAAGGGTATGTTGTGTTTGCGGAAGATAGCACCTAGTGGCAGCAGGTATAAAGAAAATAGAAGGGGACCGAGGATGGACCCCTGTGGTACCCCCCACTGGAGCGCTGTCAATGCCGAACTAAAATCTTTGATATTGACACAGAAGGTTCTGTCAGAGAGGTAGGACCCAAACCATTTAAGGGCTGACCCTGTGATGCCCACCCACTGCTCCAGTCTAGAAATGAGAATCTTGTGGTCGATGGTGTCAAAAGCAGATGTAAGGTCCAATAGGACAAGCAGCACAGAATCACCTGCGTCTGTGGATATGAAAATGTCATTAAAAACCTTCAGTAGAGCAGTTTCAGTGCTATGGAGAGATTTGAAGCCAGATTGGAATAACTCAAGGATAGCGTGATCCCCCAAAAACTGTTTCAACTGAGACTCCACAATTTTTTCCAGTAGTTTAGAGGTGAATGGGAGTCTGGAGACAGGCCGGAAGTTGGACATGACTGAGGGGTCAAGGTTAGGTTTTTTTCAGGAGGGGCTGGACAGCAGCATGTTTAAAAGTCTTTGGCACCACAACTGAGGATAAACTGCTATTCAGAATAGCGAGAATAAAAGGACCCAGGGTAGGAAAAACTTCCTTTAGTAGTCGAGGGGGGACCACATCAAAGGGGGAACCAGATGGCTTCATGCTGCAGATTACCTGCTCCAGAGAAGACAGAGAGATGGGCTCAAAGTGGTCAAACACAGCCACACACTGAGATGGGATGGACAGATCATGAGCTGGCGGAGAAATGAGTGCCCGGGTGTTTGCCACTTTTAAGAAATGGAGGAAGTTTTCACACAGCTCAGTTGAGGCTTCCAGAGGTGAAGGCTCACTGAGGTGTAGAACTGAGTTCAGGGTGGAGAAAAGAACTCGGGGGTTGTGGGAGTTGGAGACAATTAAATCAGAGAAGAATGTACATTTGGCAGCTTTAACGGTTTTCTGATAGTGACGCCAACTCTCCCTTAACATTTGAAAAGAAACCTGCAGCCTGTCCTTCCTCCACCTTCGTTCAGCTCTGCGACACTGCCGCCTAACGGCTCGCGTGACGTCATTCAGCCAAGGCTCTGATTTAAGTTTCGTTTTTCTGGTCTTAAGGGGAGCAACACGGTCCAGAACATCTAAACAGGCAGAGTTGAACTGAGAGGTTAGCTCCTCAGTGGTAAGAGACACCGGGAACTGTTCGATCCTCTCAGAATTAAAACCTTCATTAAAACGAGCAGCAGTGAAACGGTTAATGGAACGCGTACGTGCAGGAACGCACGTCTTAGCAGTATGACAAGGGGGGGGTGAAGTCAAACAATACAGGCATGTGATCTGAAAAAACATTGTCACCGATTTTCAAATTAGAAACAGAGACATCGCGTGTTAAAACGAGGTCCAGCGTGTGACCGTGTTCTTGGGTGGGACCGTTCACCTGCTGAGCTAAGCCAAAAGAGTCCAATAAATCCAGAAAGTCCTTCACTAAGGGCTTCTCCTGACAACACACATGCAAATTAGTCACCAATAAACAAAAAGTGAGTGTATCTCTGTGTGATATCAGCCAAAAAGTCAGAGAATTCATTTATGAAGTCCTTAGAACGAGGGGAGCGGTAGACGAGCGCACACAGAATCGTAGGAGAGTGTCCGAGTTCAAAGACGCTCAGCTCAAAGCTGGCGCGGGACACCGGGATGGACAACTGTTTACAGGCCAAGTTTGCTTTAAAAACTGTTAATAATCCCCCCCCCGCGCCGACCTGATGGCCGCGGGGCATTGAAACACAGACAGTCCGGGGGTAGTAGTTCCACCAGGGCGCTGGACTCACCATCAGAAATCCAAGATTCCGTGACGAACAGAAAATCCAACTCCTCATCTTTAAAAAAGTCATTGAGGATAAACGTCTTGTTGGAAACAGACCTTGCGTTGATTAAACACATCCTGATATGGTCCAACACAGGCACAGCCAAGGAGGGAGACGCGCGCGCCAGCGGGCGCAGGTTATGAAGAACGGCTCCTCCAGGTCTGCTGGTGCGGCGCACAGGTAAACAACTCCAGGTGTTCACATGGACTGAGCGCGTTAGTGTTAACTATATACATATAAATATGAATGTTTCTGTTCAGTGCCCTAAGACGACTTGAATTAATTAATAGTATACTGCAAAAAAATAAAAAATGAATGCTGCTGCGATGAACAACTGTTGAGATATTTTCATGTGCAGTAACAGGAAATGATGACAAAGGGGAACACCTGCATGTGAACAGAGCATCGCTACAATGGCTGACAACACAGACAGTGGCAAATAATCTGATGTTGCTTTAGATTATTTGGAGTCACTATCAGAGAGAGACGAAAAAGAATCAGAATAAATAATAATGTTTTACTAAACAAAGACCACAGTTCCCCTTTGATGTCACTTCCTGTTTCACTTTGGATGCTCAAGTTAAAAAAAATACACCAGGTATGTGACAAAATGAGTAAAATCATGGTTGTTATGCCAAATTTCTTAAATATTAAGATATTTTCTTCCAGTTTTTGTATTTGTAGGATATGCATGTCAAGCAATTTAAAGATTAGACCATAATTGTGGGGCAGCTGCTAATGTGGGCACAAAGAAGGTGAAAGCAGGAACGCTGTGGCCAATAAAAAATGTGCATGACATACAAGAGTTTTGAAAGCTGAGCATGTAAAAACAGGCTGTAATTTTCAAAAACTGGTAACACATTGTTATTGCAATAACTATACATTTTCATCATGCAAACCCACTGAAAACACAGCGTGTGCATTTGTTGACTGACTGATTAAACGTTACCAATGCCGTGCTTTTGCATCAGTGATATGAGGTCTGCTTCAGTGAGCAGCTGCGGTGGACTTGTCTGTCCATCCACCATCTCGATGGCAGAGGGCTGAAACTGGGAGTTTTGTTCGAACACCGGGATCAGCTGCAAAACAACATTCATCAAAGACTTTATCACAAACTAGCAGCTGAAGGCAGGAGGTAATAATGTTCAATCTGTAAAAGCTTCAGCTGGGAGTTTTAGTTATTAAATTAGAGTGAGTTAATGACGGTATCCACACCTTTGTGCTCCACCTGTCGTAAGGGTAAACATCCAGATAATTCCTCGCAATAATCATGAGACCAGAGGCGGAGAACTTCTCTTGAGCGATGTCGATGTCCACCACAGTTTCCTGCCCCAAAGCATCCTGGGATACACAGGCCAGGAAGTGCCGGACAATGAACTCATACACTTGTGCTTCATTACCCTGGAGAACAAATAGTTACTAGTTTATCATTTTTATTTAAAAGTTATAATATATGTTCCTCAATCAAAAATAAATCTGTTTTCATCTGGACTTGTTCATTTACTAATCTTCAGACATTTAGGCTATTTTGTCAGCTGTTGGCAGGTAGTGAAACACTATGTTACTGTTGAAACATCTTCAGAATAAATTAATCCAACCTGATTTAAAAAAGAAAACAAACAAACACAGCAGCAGTGTTTGTCAGCCTACCTGCAGTGTGTTGGTGTACTTGGTGGGGTGGATGGGAGGGTGAGCTTGGTCAGAGCTTCGGCCCTGTCGTGGATTGGGTCCCCCCGGCTGGTCCAGCACTCGCTGGGCAAAAGTCCCCCACTCTGAGCTCTGTGTTTGCTGTTCCACCAGGGGGGCAAGGGAGAGGGTGGCAGGAAAAATGTTTGTTTCTGTGCGAGGATAGCTGATAAACCTAAGAAAAATGAACGAATGCATAAATGAATGAATAAGCAAACATATAATAAGAAAACACTCTGAAAATATAAAATTACTGGTTAAAACATTAACAACATATGGCTGAACTGCAAGATGATCATGTAATGCAGACATGGGCAACATATGGCCCAAGGGCCAAAAGTGGCCCTTGGACAGTCTCCATTCAGCCCTAATATCATTAACTGACAAAAAAACTACTTTTAAATAATGTGATAAAAACCTGCATTTCATTAATGAAACTTAAGGAAGTCTAAATTAAACTTATTGGACAAATACATCAAAAACCTAAAACTTTTTTTTAAAGTTGTATTTCAGAACTAGACTAAAAATTAAAGACTAATAAAAGCAAAGATATACCTTTTTTGTTGTTTACTGTTGCATATTTAAGCTAACAACTAGATTGTCACAAGAGCTAGTTTACAGAAACTGTCTAGTATTCCTAAAAAGTAATAGGGACATATTTTTTTATCAAGCATACTAAATATGTTTCAACCAAATAAAAGTCTGAAAAAAATGCTTCCAGATAAATTGTCTTAAAGAAAAAATATTTTCCAATCATCATAGCCTTTTGATTGCTGTAAACATCTTATTTTAGGCCCTTTGGGGAAAAAAAGTTGACCAACCCTGCTTTAACGTATAAAAACAAAAACTTACGGTTGTCGACCTGATGAAGAAAAAAAAAGCATTTTAGCTTTTGACTGAAACCATAAAGTCTAAGGAGACTAAACAAACAGTAACGACTTGGAGTGCTTGGTTCTGTTGGACTCTGTGTTTATGTTTATAATCAGAAATCTGCAAGTTAAATTCATGAAACACCCACCCTTGTGTGTAAAGTTTTTCAGCAATTTTCATGGTCTCTTTGGCGTTTATTCTGAGCTTCCGAGATGCCAGTTTCTCCAGTTCCTGCAGGTCAGATAGTAGATAAAGATTTGATTTTCTACTACAGTAAAAAATACTACATTCCAAACATGAATAGCTGTTTTCTTTTTAATTCTGCAGTCTGGATTATGTGGGTAGCTGTTTGGTTTTATCATCTTACCACAGTGTCCAAAGGCAGAGGTCTCCATTTGCTCTTGGGTTTGCTGGTTACTGAGGTGACTGTTGCTATGGGATCCTGGAAATGAATAAAATTATATCCATCTTTTCACTTGCAGCTTTTAAATCATTTTATTCACGCAGGTCAACAACATTTTCAACATTCACTGGGGTGTTCAGGAGCTGTTAGATACATCTCTGCATGCTTTAAAAGCAGAGACGCTCACAGAGCTGGCATGAACTTAACGAGCTAAAACTACGATTGGTTGTCGATTTTCAGTGATTTGTAGGATAAATGCATCATTAACTAGAAAAACAACAATTTTCTACAAAAAATAAGTTTGGATACGTAATAAAAACTTTAAAATCCACAAAGCCGATGGCTACTTTTTACCTTCTAAGAACTAAAAAAATATACATATCAAATATAAGCTTAAATTGAAATACAATACTATCATTTATATGTGTTTCAATGTGAATCCAAACTGGCCTCAACCTATGTAAAACCGGATTCCAAAAAAGTTGGGACACTAAACAAATTGTGAATAAAAAACTGAGTGCAATGATGTGGATGTGCCAACATCTAATACTTTATTCAGAATAGAACACAAATCATAGATCAAAAGTTTAAACTGAGAGAATGTATCATTTTAAGGGAAAAATCTGTTGTTTCCAAATTTCATGGCATCAACAAATCCCAAAAAAGTTGGGGCAAGTCCATTTTTACCACTGTGTGGCATCCCCCCTTCTTCCTACAACACTCAGACGTCTGGGGACAGAGGAGACCAGTTTCTCAAGTTTAGAAATAGGAATGCTCTCCCATTCATGTCTAATACAGGCCTCTAACTGTTCAATCATCTTGGGCCTTCTTTGTCGCACCTTCCTCTTTATGATGCACCAAATGTTCTCTATAGGTGAAAGATCTGGACTGCAGGCTGGCCATTTCAGTACCCGGATCCTTCTCCTACGTAGCCATGATGTTGTGATTGCTGCAGAATGTGGTCTGGCATTAT